CTACTGTCATTTGTTAATTGAAATTTATTATCACATCCAACCATTGCTGTCAACAGATGTTGGTATATGAATATATGTCTAATGGCACTCTGCAAGATCATCTTTCAGGTAAACCTTTGAATTCAAGAAATGCAAAATGACAATTTTTAATTCTATATGCAAATATTTTGGTCCTTAGTATGATGTTTTATGTGTATGGTACCACGTGCAGGAAAGATTAAAAAACCTCTGAGTTTCACAAGGAGGTTGAGAATAGCTCTTGGTTCATCCAAGGGAATCCTCTACCTACACACAGAAGCTGACCCTCCTATATTTCATCGAGATATCAAGGCCAGCAACATATTATTGGATTCTAAATTTGTCGCAAAGGTTGCCGATTTTGGACTTTCACGAATTGCTCCGGTGCTAGATATTGAAGGTGCAACGCCTGCTTATGTGTCTACTGTTGTAAAGGGGACTCCAGTAAGTGTTTTACTTGAATGAAATTAAATTAGAAGCTTCTTTATATTTATGTTTTTAGAATTTGTCTAACTTGCATCCTTAAGGTACAAATTAAGAGTGTAATTATCACACTCTTTTTACATTAATTATTATTAAAAAAAATACAAAAGCTGTCATTGATTTTGTCATTAGTGTCATGTGGATCATTTTAATTAAACAATTACTTAAATAAAGATTAAATTTTATTTTCTCAATAGTAATTAATGAGAAAAAAGTGTAATAATTACAACCTTACAATTAGAAAAATCCATTTTTTTAATATCTTCAATAAAAGAGATGGAATTCAAAATACTATATTTACTAATATATGACAATCAACATTGGTTCATGACTATATATTGCTAGTATGGTATCTCATTATTTGAATATTTTGTACCTAAAATGTAGGGTTACCTTGATCCAGAGTATTTCCTAACGTATAAGTTAACAGACAAGAGTGATGTATATAGCCTTGGTGTTGTGTTTTTAGAGCTTTTAATAGGGATGCAACCAATTTCACATGGCAAAACCTTGTTCGAGAGGTAATACATAGCTTTCCTTCTCCGTTTTTGCTTGAAATTAATTGTCTTTCGTCACTTTTAGACCAATTGAACATTTTTACTCTCTCTTTCTCTCACACGCACACACACACACACCAAGTTAAAATTGCGTATCAATCTGGTACAATATTCTCGGTTCTTGATGTAAGAATGGGTTCATATCCTTCTGAATGTGTGGAGAAGTTTGTGAATTTGGCCATGAAATGTTGCCAAGACGAGACAGATTCAAGACCTTCCATGGCAGAGGTGGTCCGAACTCTGGAAACTATAGGGCTGATGATTCCAAGGTACTCCGACCCCTCGCTAGTAGAATCCATGGAAGGTGACCCAGAAACGACATCTACTACTCCACCTTCGTCATCCTCTATGGTGAAGAATCTGTACATATCCTCATATGTTTCTGGTAGTGACCTTATTAGTGGAGCAACTCCCACCATCACGCCTAGATAAGATAAGACCATACGACACAAACTACTCTCGCTTTAATAAGTCTTTCACTCTTGACTGTTGTTGTATACTTACATTGGTTCTCTCATTTCTGCTACTATATAGTTAGTTTTTTACACCAT